ATGCTGGCTCTAAAGAATCTACCTTCCATAATATTAATAATAATGAGTGGAGCCCATTACCAACACAATATTAAGCCAGCTTGGGAGTTTAAAAGTCATAATTAACCTTTTTCAGGTGATTATCTCAAGGAACTGCATGAAAGAGTACATGTATGTTTTATCAGTTTAGTTTGTAAATGGAGGTAGGTGGGAGTAAAACCTCAAACACAGCACATATCTTCACATTAAAAAAAATTCCAAATACAAATTCACTGGACTGGCCGTGCAGGTCAAATCAAAATCAAATTATATGTCTTCTCTCACATGGCAGAAAGAGTCTTATAATCACCAATCTGATATGGAAGTAATGCAAGTGATGAGGTGTCCCAGTGACCTCTGGAGATGAGAATTAAATTCTGTTGAAATAGATGAGCAGACAACTCCATCCATAAAATGTTCCAGTTTTAATTTTTCTGGGCAGCCTGCATCACTGCACATGACCAGGTTGTACAGTATGTCACCATAAGGTTAATGAGAAAATTCATGTTGCGTGAGGAGAAAAATCAAGCGAATGCTTCGAGTCTGGCAAGTAAGATTCTCACATCTACATAGCTGAGATACTTATATCTTAGTCTTTCCGTTCCATGACTACTTCATTAATGTACATTTTAACATGCTGCACTGCTTTCAGCAATTCCTTCAGTATGACTTCATGAGCAAAGAAAGTTAACAAGCAGGATGGGTGGCCCCCTACATATCTGGGTGTGGAAGACAGAAATCACTCTTCCTGTTCAAGCTCACGTGTTCACCCTCATCCTCACTGGCCACCCCAGACAGCCCTGTGGAGTCTGATGGAGGCCTGCCCAGTGGTACTCTTGCGGCTCATGGACTCCTCCTTGTCTGAGACATCAAATAATGTGGGTGGCGAAGGGACAAAGAGCAAAAGCCTTTGGGAAACCTCCCAGTTTGAAGACAGATCCTGTTACCTTCAAGATAATCATTGGTCTGAGGAGTTAAAATAAAACACAAAAAGTCAGGTGGTGGTTGGTGGTATATAATTGACTTCATTTCAGATACATGCATTTATTTATTTAAAACTTTTATATATCCACTCCCCCCCCCGAAAACTGGGACCCAAGACAAGTAACAACAACAAAACCAACACACCACTAAAACATCAAAGAACAGCCATTAAATTAGCCTGCAATACCCAAGTTAAAAACAGAGTCCAAGTAGCTGTCCTTCAAAGTCAGTTAAAAACCCCTCATTTAGACAAGCCAAATGACATTCCGAAACTTTCAATCTTACATCACCTCAGACTGTTCCATAGCAACAAACAGGCATCAGCATTCAGTAGGTCTAGTGATATATAAAGCTGGGAATATTTTATTTCACCTTATAACCCCAGGCCATGAACAACTGTTTGTATAAAGCAGTTGCTGTAGGAGGCCTGCCTCCTACCTCAGAACCACTTCCCTGTCTTCTTGGTTGAAAGACTGGAAAGCTAAGCTGGCGTGGTAGAGGGGGGAGAGGACAAGACATCCAAGGAGCAAAGAGAGGGACTGGCCTGATCCCTTAGTCTCTGCAACTCGGGATGAGAAAAAGCTAAGGCTAGCCCTGCCCTGGCTTAGGAAGGGTGCAGCAAGGATGTGAGAAACCGACCCCCTTCTGCTTTAAGATGTAGAAGAAGAGAGAATGGATTTATACCCCGCCCTTCACTCAGAGTCTCAGAGTGGCTTACAGTCTCCTTTCCCTTCCCCTCCCCACAACAGACACCCTATGAGGTAGGTGGGGCTGAGAGAGCTCTGACAGAAACTGCCCTTTCAAGGACAGCTCTTGTCAGAACTATGGCTTGCCCAAGGACATCCAGCAGCTGCAAGTGGAGGAGTGGGGAATCAAACCTGGTTCTCCCAGATTAGAGTCTACATACTTAACCACTACACTGTTGCATGCAGTCACATTCGTTTCTTCAGGATCGAGGACAGAGGGTGGCAGTTGGGGACAACTGTCCAGAAGGCACCCACTATTGTGCAGAGTGCCCCAACGTGCAGTGCTTTCCCCAATGCTGTTCAACATCTATATGTGCCCCCTCGCCCAGATTGCCCATGGATATGGGCTGGGTTGTCATCAATATGCTGACGATACCCAGCTCTATCTGTTGTTGGACGGCCAGTCAGACTCTAGTCCAGGAGATCTGGACCTGGAGTTGAAAGCCGTGGATGGTTGGCTTAGACAGAACCGACTGAAATTGAATCCGACGAAGATGGAGGTCCTGTGCCTGAGTCAGAGCGGTCCACAGTTAGGGATCCCTCTCCCGACTTTCGATGGGGTGCCACTGGAACCAGCACCGTAGGTTAGGAGTTTGGGAGTGCTCCTGGATACCTCTCTAACGATGGAGGCCCAGGTAGCAGCCACTGCAAAGCCGGCCTTTTACCATGTACAGCTGATTAGGCAGTTGGTTCCCTTCCTTGAAGGCAATGACCTAGCAACGGTGATCCACGCGTTGGTCACCTCAAGATTAGATTATTGCAATGCTCTCTACATGGGGCTGCCCTTGTCCCAAATCCGGGAGCTGCAGCTGGTGCAGAATGCAGTGGCAAGGCTGTTGTCGTGTCTTCCGATGCGGGAACACATCAAGCCCGCCCTAAAGACACTGCACTGGCTGCCTATAGCATACCGGATACGGTTCAAGGTGCTGGTTCTCACCTTTAAAGCCCTTTATGGCCATGGACCTACTTACCTAAGGGACTGCCTTTCCCCGCACGTACCCCAGCGAGCACTGAGATCGGGTTCCCAAAATCGCCTGGCTCTTCCAGGGCCTAAAGAGGCCATGTTGGTTACAACGAGGGCCAGGGCCTTCTCTGTGGCGGCCCCTCACTGGTGGAATGAGCTCCCAGAGGACATCAGGACCCTACGGGACCTCTTACAGTTCCACAGGGCCTGTAAAATGGAGCTCTTCTGCCAGGCTTTTAAGTAGGGTGCCGCCTTGATTTTATGGCCCTGGCCCGACTATCAACTGTACCAACAGTTCCAATGGTGCCACCAACTGAGGCTTTATAGCTGGGTGGAAGCCTGACAACATCATTCAGCTGACAGCTGATATTAGAATGATTTTATATTGATTGACACTTTAAATGGAATTTTAATGTATATTTATTGATGTTGTTAGCCACCCTGAGCCTGCTGAATGGTGGGGAGGGCAGGATATAAATGTAAATATAAATAAATAAATAAGCTGAGTGCAACAGAACAGCACTTGGGGAAATGTCGGCAAGTGGCCACAAACAGGATACTACGGTTTTGTGTGGAAGTAAATGCAACAGCAATTGCCTACTGTGAATTATTTTCATTGCTATTTCAGAAAGTCTATATATTCATGGTTAAAAGGTAAAGGTAAAGGTTCCCTTGCTCGAAAGCCAGTCGAATCCGACTCTAGGGTTGCGGTGCTCATCTCCGTTTCAAAGCCGAAGAGCCAGCGCTGTCCGAAGACGTTTCCGTGGTCATGTGGCTGGCATGACTAAACACCAAGGCACATGGAACGCTGTTACCTTCCCACCAAAGTGGTACCTATTTATCTACTTGCAATTTCTTGCTTTCGAACTGCTAGGTTGGCAGGAGCTGGAACTAGAGATGGGAGCTCACTCCGTCATGCGGCAACCTGGGTCTCGAACTGCTGAACTACCGACCTTCCACAGCCTGCAGTTCAGCCTCTTAACCACTTGAGCCACCGCAACTCCACATTCATGGTTAGCATAGAACTAATTCTGTTCAGTTACTTCACCGCATATTTGTTTCCGCAGTAAGGATGTTGGCAAGTCTACAAACAGTGTTAAGTGTTTTCGTGACAGGGGGATTGATTGCTCTTCTTTTTGTTCTTCTGTATGTTCCCAGGATCTTTTTTTGATTCACTTACAGAGAATTACAGCAGAATCCAGATTGAGTCAAACGAGACTTACTTTTGAGTCTGGAATTTATTTATTTATTAGTTACATTTATACCCCGCCCTCCCTGCGAACAGGCTCAGGAATTGCAGCATTCTGTAGGAACCAGAGGGCAGCCACCCTGGTCTGCAGTAGAATAGTTAGATTTGGGTCCAGTAGCATCTTAGAAACCAGCAAGAGTTTCAAGGGAGCTGACTCTCAAAATCTTACACCCTAAAACTCTGATTGGTCTCTAAGGTGCTACTGGACCCAAATCTAAAAGTATCTGAGGAAGTCCATACCTTGAATAAAACTTTGTTGGTCTTAAAGGTGCCACTGGACAAGCTTTGTTCAGTAGGATTCAGTGACACTGATCAATACCATCAACAGCACTAGTTATGTTATAGGGCACTATCCTTAAAGATGGGTATGAATAATTACAGAACTAATTCCCACAAGTTCCAGTAGATTCAGTGGCATTTTATGAAGCTCTGGTGATAGGTTAATGCTTAAGAACACAGGCTAAGAGCTGAATGTGATTCAACTCTCATGCAGCAGATCTGTGTTTGTAGGATGGGACTAAAAGTGCTAGGCATCACTTACACTTGTAAGAATGACTTAGTAAAATAAGAGAAGCACTGTGAGTACTTATAAAGATGTAATAATTGGGGGAGAGGTACGGTTAAAAGAGCTGGAATAAATTAATGGCTGATAGGAGCGGCAACTGCTATTAGCCATTATAGCTAGGAACGGAACCCTCATGCCCAGAAGCAGTATACCTTACAAGGTTGTTTTACAATTAGTGCAAGAAGATCGTGTATGTGAAGCGCTTTGAACAGCGAAAGGTCTAAGCTCAGTACTTACAGAAACTATAGAGGAGCGCGGCTATTTGCATCTACCTGTCAATTTACCGATTACATCAGGTGCGAGAGAGAAAATTAACGAACTTTTGGTCTGAGCAGGCGAGGCGATTTCCCCTCCATCTAGTTCTTCGCGTGAACCAGGAATATCTGAATTCAGGAAGATTGACCCTTACGACAGTCCGTAGGGCACCGGCTGCGTCAGAAGACGCATGCGCATAGAGGTCCTTTCCGGCGTTCCGGTAATGGCAGCCCCCATAGGATGGATGCCCCTGCAGCTGCAATGCCGGCGGTTGCTCCTTTCCCGGCGGCTTAAGGCAAAGCTGCGAATAACAGAGGCGCGCTTCAGCTCTACGGAAGCTGCTGCAGCTGTATTAAAGGAGCAGCAAGTCCCGGCTAGCGATGAGGCGTCGGGTAAGAGAGGAATCCCTTCGGCCGTGATATCGCCGTCCTTTCATTTTTGCTTTGCGGGCGGTACCGTCTTCTCATTCTTGCTGGAAGTTTAGCAGCCTAACAGTCCGGGGCTGGGGTGGGAGAGGAGTGTGAGGTCCACGAGGACTCCCAAGGGGTTTCCGACTTGCTTTTCACATACTGAGTGGGTTGCTTTAGACTGTTCACACGTTCAGTTAACAGGGTGGCAGAACCTTGAGCCGCTGGAACTTCAGGCTGACCCTAGAGGATCACATTTTAGTGTGCTCTTACTTTAAAAACTCTTTAAATAGGAAGTCAGCATAGCAAGAAGAAGAAGAAACAAATTCCTTGTTCGCTGGCTTCTGTTTGCAGACGAAGAGGAAAGGTTACGGAAAGGAACATCACTCTAAGTTTGAAAAGTGCAGCTCTGTGGTTGCCAATCCTTTGCGGACCTCTTTCTAACATCCAAAACTTTCATGGACCTCCCATGTAGTAGTAGTTGTACTATTAGTTTCCATTGATTGAGAAAATACATAGTAACAAAAATATCAAAATTACAGTGCTTGGTGTGCCTATGGATTTCTGCTCCCCTTGGCAATCACTGGTGTAGTCCATTCTCTCATCATATTAATACTTCACTTTCCTGAATGAAGGGACCAGGCCTAAATTCCATTTCTGGCTGCCGCTTGCTAAGTGGGATGTTAACACAACATGCATTGACTTAAACCTTGTTCACACGTGCACTAGAGTGACACTAGAAGACACTATGTCACTTCAGACAGCAAGTGGGATATGCTGTGTTTGATTGCTTCACAATAACAAAGGAAAAAAATATCCCTATGGGTAACATATCAGGGAGAGGTTTTAGATTAGCTACTTCCCTGTTGTGCTGCTTCTCATTATCTAGAGAGTTTTTAATGGGGGAGGGGGGTCATTGACAATTGTGATTCTTCCTTCAAATAGCCTGAGATAGTGTAATCTGTTGTATCACCTTATTAGTTGTATCTGTAGACTAGACCTTATATCATGCAGCTGCAAGATATCAAGCATTCAGCAGCTAAGGCTTGAAGATAGTTTGCACAATGGATCACAAATACAGGAGTCATATGCAAAATCATAAGAGTACTAGGTCTTCTGTGGACTGAAAGTTGTACATTGTTTTAATTGTGCTATTTCTTGAGTATCTGCAAGTATCTGATCAACACTAAGTTATGGAGTTAAGAACTGGCCTGTTGAATCAGACCAAAGGGCCATATAGTTCAGCATTCTATTTCCAGTGGCATTCAGCTAGAAACCTGGGAAGCTCATTGACAAGAGATGCTTGCAGTGATCTTCCCCTGTTGCTTGTCCCCAACATGTGGTACTCAGATATCCCTTCTGAACATGGAGATTTTATTTAACTTAGTCCTGACAAAATAGTAGTGCTACTGGTGGCGGGGGGTCTGACCTGGGAAATGGGTTATCTCCTGTTCTAGATGGGGTTGTGCTCCCCTTAAAGGAGCAGGTTCGTAGCTTGGGGGTGCTGCTGGACCTGGGCTTCATGCTTGATAAACAGGTGACAGTGGTGGCCAGGGGCCCCTTTCAGCAGTTTTGGCTGGTGAGCTGAGGAATGACTGTGGTGCTTGCCCGGGTAACACCTGGATTAGATTACTTCAATGCATTGTACAGAAAGCTGTCCTTAAAGACTGGAAGCTACAGTTGGTACAGAGTGCTGTGGACAGAGTGCTGACTGGAGTGGATCATAAGGATCATATTTCACCAGTCTTGTTACATCTACACAGTCTTCCAATTTGCTTCCAGGCTCAATTCAAGGTGTTGGTGTTGACCTTTAATTTGATTAGATATGCACTGATATCTAATGTAGTGGTATTTATTAACTTTATTGCTGTATGACATAATGGTTGAAGTTACTCTTTGCTTACAACTGTGCTACATGATACACTCAGCATATTTTACTGCTGGTCTCAATAATACTGTACAATCTGAAAGTTTTGGAACAGCCTGCAGGACCATCTAGCCACACGTGCTTCTCAGGAGGTAGAGTTGTCTGTTCATTATACAGGTTGATTTATTTGGGCCCCGGTCACACAGGCAGGAAAATGCAGGGGGGAAGCGTTGCTGTTTGCCCCGGAGCAAAATAATGTGCGGCTGCGCGATCAGACATCCAGTCGAGGTCCCGTGGTTAGAGGGGAGGTGCCAATCACAGGACAATCCTGCGGCTCTAGCAAAAGGCTCCGCGGGTTTAACCCCTTCCAGGGCTGCAGAGGAATGCAAACTGTGTCCTCCATCCGGTCCCCTCCAGGAGGAGCTTCAGCCAGGCCACCCTCCTGCCACGCCCCCCTGCACCTCCCCCTCTGCCACCCAGTGCAGAGAGTTCCTCTCGAGCAGGCTGAGCCAGGAGTGTGGGGGGGGGGTACGGAAAAGAGGAGGGGGCTGTGTTGTTTGTTTTTAAACGAAGTGTGCGAATGCGCCGTTGGGTGCTTGTGCGCATCCCGTGGAGACATGAAAAAAAACCCTTTTCGCGATGAGACATGGGCGGGCGCCGGATGCCATGACCTACCACCAGAAACGCGATCAGGCGCCCGCCCTTGCCCTGCGGTTTCCGGAAACTAGTACCTCGGAGGTACTAGTTTTTTACCCCGCATCTTCAGCGGGAAGCCTCAGGTTCGCCACGGGAGCTCTACGCTTCCCAGATGTGGCGCTGTGATCGCGCTCGGAAAATCCGCCTGTCTTCCATCTTTGTAGCGTGGCTAATGCTCCATGTGACCGCACCCATAATAGGTCACAGTTTACCACAACACTGATACATATGCAAATCAGTTTAAGTGTGGGACTCTAGAAAACTAGCCAGTTCTTATGCTGAGCAAGGCCTGTGTCATTTGTAGTTAAATGGAGCTTTTGAAGTACTCTGAATGGGATTAACCTATACCTTTTCTGTTTATACTTTTGAGCACCAAGGTAAAAATAGAGACATGGAGCTGTGCCTCAGTAGTAGAGCTTTGCATGTAAAGGGTCCCATTTTCAGTCCCCGGCACCACCCGTTAAAAGGCTCAGGTAGTGGGTGATGTGGAAGACTCTGCTGGCAGAACTAAAAGGCAAATTGGGGATGGGGGGCAGTGTTTGTGACTTTGTTGTATGAAGCTTTTTAAAATGAGGTCTTAACAGGAATTCTTCTCTTCCCTCCCCATGCCCATGCATCTTTTCCTGCACTGTTATGCAACTTGAAGCACTTTGGTTCAGTTTTCATGTCGGGGGGGGGGGCAGTGTTGTAACTCAGCTATTTTAAACAGATTTTTGTGGTGCATTAGAGCTGACCAAGTCACTTAGGATACCATGATTCCTGCTAAACATCAATTTTACATCCTGCAATCTAGGTGCTGAAGTACAAATTTAAAAGCCACAAGAGGTGAAAATGTGCACACAAGTAGGAGAGAGACAAGAGATTGGATCCAAACTAAATTGTCAGTTTCCCTGTCCCACTGCATACCCCATTCATGTTGTTCTTCAGGGTCCTCCTATCCTTAAGAACAGAATGTTATGGAGAGCAATGAGATACAGTGGGGGTGGGGGGCAGTGTTCCCTCTAAGCTGAGTTAATGTGAGCTAGCTCACAATTTTTTAGCCTCCTGCTCACATATTTTTGTCTTAGCTCAGGAAAGATGGTTCCAGAGCAAACTAATTTATGCAGTAGCCAAATCACTCACTCACAACTTTAATGCCCATAGGTCACAAAGTAGAATTTTTGCTCACAAGACTCCACAGCTTAGAGGGAGCATTGGTGGTGGTGGGGTTCGTTCTGGATATTTTGGGAAGGTGTCAGCTAGGGCTTACCTTTGCTTTTTAAAATTTAGTATATGTATGCACTGCTGCAAGGCTGTGACTATCTGCCATACACGGTATTACTGTAAATATAGAAAGGTCTTTTTTCCGCTCTCCTCTCCCCCAACTAGCCACCGAGGTTAGTGCCCGAAAGAAGACATTCCGGGAAATGCTGTCAGAAAGACTAGAACAAGCTCAACGGACAGTGTTAATAGACTGCATATCCAAAATAAACGAGAAGAAATTTCTTAAATACTTGTCATCTCATGGAAACATTAAGAATCACTTCTTTTATGAAAGCTATGTAAGTACCTGGAGCATCAGCAACCGAAATCTAGACAACAACCCGTATGATTTCCACCTGCCAGAGTAGTTGGAATTTGAGTTATATGTCCACTGTTTTCTCTAGAGTGGTGTGACACTTAAGCTAGCCTTTAACAGGTTCTTTTGCTGAATGGCTAAAGGGAAACCAGATCAGTAATAATTTATCAGTTTGGTTGCCTCTTTGTATCACAGTGTAATTCCATTGTTGTTCGGCTGTTGTCCTGGGAAGAATTATTGCTGTAAGTGAATTAGTTAACAGTAAAGCTATGTCATTATTGTCCGTATCAACAGCCACTCCAGGGCTGGCCTAACGCTGCCGTAATTCCTGTCTTATTTCATCATTACAGTCCACATTTTCAAAATGAAACACAGGAGTAGTATTTGGAGAGTGTGCCGTGCTGTTTCAGTGACAGGCTGTGATTACATGTTACCTTTCACAATATAAATATCAGTTAAATGATATGGCTGTTTAACAGCTAGCTATTCCAGCTGAAGAGTACTAATAATATTTGGATTTCTGTATCAACCTTTTCATCTCTTAAGTTTTGTTTGAAACAACCAATGGGAATTATGTATAAAATATCTGCAAGCCACTTTGGGATTCTCCTGCTTGAAATTAAATTCACCAAAGGCTTATCTAACTATTAAAAATTTTCTATGAAGGGGATTTTGTCTGACACCCTCCCCAACAGCCTACAGCTTTTTTACTGTAGTGTGAATATACTTGGGACACTTTAGTTCACAACTCCATCTACCCCTGGCACTTACTGGGTTATCTTGGGTGAGTTACAATCCCTCATTCTCAATTATTTGGGGCCTGTTTTAAAGGTGGCAGTGGCAGGCAATATGAAATTACCTTTGTACACCCCCAGTGTCTCATTTAAGCATTTCTGTGCTTGCAGTGTGCAACACCCACCTGGGCTGTGACTCTCTGGCATGCTAAAGTCACACAGAGGAGCTGAGAGGTCAGCTTAAATGAGATCCTGGGCGTTGGAAGGACTGCATGGAAAAAGTTTTACCCTGGCCATGCAGAGCTGTTCTGAGGGTAACTGGGTAAAATACCATGCTTCAGATCTTTGGGGAGGGGGCGGGGCAACAATGTAAAATAATGAGTAAGAAAATGGTTTCATCTCTGCCTCATGCTTATGGTTAAAAAACCTTCAAACATATGCATCCTCTGTTTTCAATTGAAACCTGTTGTGTCACATATGTAACGTGTCCATTTTTCTGTCTCCCCCCCCCCTTGCTTTAGGGCACATATGCCGTCGTAGAATTTTCTGAAAAAGACAGCATAGCATCACTGCAGGATGTCGCTGGTACCCCACAGTTTAAGGATGAGTGTCCCGTTCCATTTAAATCTAGAATTTTTACTTTAACATTGAAAAGTCCACAAAGCCAAGCTTCTGATCAGGTGCCAGTTCATCGTCATAAGCTGTCCACTGTTCCTTTGGAAGAACTGATCAGGAAATTATGTAACGCTGATAATGTAAGTTCATGGTTATATTTTGTTTCATATTTCAAAAAGAAATAAGCACCCTTATTTTTGTGCTGATTTGTAATCAGGAAACTGGCTTATTGTTAAAGGAGCAATAATGAACTTGTGATTTAAAAAATGGCAAACATTAAATGCATACAGTAAATACTTAAAGTATATTAATATTCTTTAGAAAATTACTGTAGCTTTATGCAACACCTATTAGTACAATAGATCTATGGGCAGTGGAATTCACTGATTACTTTTCATGGAACCTCCTTTCCTTACAAGTAGGGCAGAGAAGGTTCTCTCTCATTGATGATGAAACAGACAGCAGTTAATTTTTACATGATTATAGTTGCTACAAAGGGGTGTAGAGCATCCATACAGCTAAATCCAGAAATGCAATGCTTCAGCCACCTGAATAGCTTTATGCTGCTTAATTATGCAGCAGTATTAAAATCATAACACAGCTTAACAATGATTTTTCAAGGAAACAATGATGACCTTTTCAGAAATCTGAATTCTAATGGGGGCTTTCCAACTTCCTTGTTTTACAAAAACCATTTCCACATCAATGAGTCTGTCAAGAAATGTTTCTGCATTGCATAGTTAGAGCATGCAGTTAATTCAGATGGTGTGGAGGTCAGAGACCTGCTGGGCTTAACTTAACGTCCTTCACACTTTGAAACACCCCCCAAGACTGCACAGTGCGGGAGAAGATTGGTAGCGAGGAGCAACTAGCCTTTCGGGGAAGCTCATTTTCTGTTATGGGTTTTCTTACTGAGAAACCTCTGGTATGCTTTGGTTTCCCCTGAAACCACTGTCCTAACATACAGTCTTGGTATATTTCAGTCTTTGTGTTTTCATCTAGTTTTTTTTCACAAGTGCAAATTTATTTGGTGCTAAACTTCATCTCTATATTATCTGTATAATTTTTTGCAATATATTGGTACAGTATCTGTAGGTGTCAGACTTCAGGAGAACTTGAGGTTGCAGATTAATGAGAATGAGGTTGTCAGTGGACTGTGATGGTTTATAAATTTCCATTGCCTTCAGAAGCAAGCAGTGTTTAAAACAAATGCCTAACTTCATGAAGAATAAGAGAATTAGACCCAGTGAAAGTACCCAGAGATGCAACATTTCCAGAAGGTTCAAAGCAGTTTTTTTTTTTCCCAGAAGGAAATAAATTTGGGAGGAAATTGAACTATATATAATATTTATTTTTATTAAGCCTAATTTTGGTCTTGCTGCTTTAATGTCATGAAATGTGTCATTGATAACTTACAAATTGTGCGATTTGGCTTATTTATGAAATTGAAAAGTATGAATGTCCTAGCATTCGGCAAGCAAGATTGCAAATACAACCAATACTAAAGAGAGAGTTGCAGCATTCGGCAAGCAAGATTGCAAATACAATCTAAAGAGAGAGTTGAAAACCTTTGCACATGTATCTTGGTTTTTGTTCTCTGAGAGACAGGAAGGAACAAAACAGAAATTACAAGCTTTATAGTAAAGAAAAGAGATAGAAACAGTCTCCTGTGGTCATAATAAGGCTAGCAGCATATTTGGATATCAAGTTAACAGACTATTGAATGGTTCAGTGTTTTCAGTGTTAGAGTCTAACACTGAACTCTTCAGTAGTGTATTATCGTACACATAATGTATGAAATATAAGTAAAATTAGTCACATTTAACAAATATATACTTGAAATTCATTGTGTATGTCCACAGTCTACACAATAATTATATGTAAGTGTTTTTTATGCAGAAATCTTCTTCCTGCATATTTTGAGTAACTCCTGGTGTTAATCATTTCACTTATTCCAAAAGACAGAACAGCAGGGGGGTTTCAGTGTTAAGGTGTTTAGTCATGCCGGCCACATGACCACGGAAACGTCTTCGGACAGCGCTGGCTCTTCGGCTTTGAAACGGAGATGAGCACCGCAACCCTAGAGTCGGACTCGACTGGCTTTCGAGCAAGGGAACCTTTACCTTTACCTAATGTATGAATTATAAGTAAAATTAGTCACATTTAACAAATATATACTTGAAATTCATTGTGTATATCCACAGTCTACACAAGAATTATATGTATGTAAGACTGTTTTTTATGCAGAAATCTTCTTCCTGCATATTTTGAGTAACTCCTGGTGTTAATCATTTCACTTATTCCAAAAGACAGAACAGCAGGGGGGTTTCAGTGTTAAAATTTCTCAAGGGTGGTTCCCCCCCCCCTTTGAATTTTTCATTTTCCCAGCACACATTCTCAACCTCTAGGGGGCTTGTTTTAAATTGAAGCCATGGAAATTACTGTGTCAAGAGGTTAATTGGCAGATTTCTGAATCATTCCTATTGCACTGAACCGAAAGGCAGGCTTCAAGGAGAAATGACGGTTTATTTAGACTCTAAACTAGAGGTGTGTACTGAGTAGCTTGAGAGCCACCTGTGGCTCTCCTGAGCACTGCTCCTGAGGCACCCACCTCATGCTCCAGGAAAGTGGGCAGTTTCCTAAGGAATTGGGATAGTTTTACTTCAGGCCCCTATTTACGATGAAATTTTAATTTTTAAAACACATCTCAACCTGTCCATGATGAATATATCAGCCAAGGTAGTGGAGATGTACAGGTTCTGAGTATGGGGCTGGGTCAACATATGCTGCTGAATGAGGTTGTGTAATGGGGCATGCCATTGCTGAGACGTAGCGCATGAAGCAAAACTCTTTGCAAGTGGAAAACTTAGTATAGAGAGAGGCTCTAACCACCCTTTATCCTGCAGAAACTACAGTAAAACTTGAAGGGAACTTCAGTGAAGCATTTATTGTTTAACATGCAGCCTAACAAAAGTTTGCAAGCTGTTCTGTGTCCTCACTCTGACTTAGAAGCCCCCCTCTCCCAATTACAGATACACAACAGTAGTGGGGGGGGGATAACCCAGTAATTAGAAGGGGTTATGCTATAGCTATATGTTATTGTTTGGGGTGGTCACACATGGCATACAGTAGTCATGTCACTCTTTCGTTTGATGCAGATGTGATCTGTGGAGTGAGTACTGTTCTAAGCTAAATTGTCCAGCTTGTTTTCCCATGATGTTTGAAGAATGGGTTTGGAAACGAAGGATTCTAAGAAATCTGTTCTCGGTGCTCTCTGTGCCCCAATTCCTTCTTTTGCATTTTGTAAACGTACAATAAGATCAAAGTATTTCATTTCCTAGGGTTCAGGTCTGAAGCATAAGTAACTGGTGGTGTTGTTTTTTTCCCTCCTGGCCAGGTGAGTGAGCAGTTGCACATGCTCACAGAGGAATATCAGCTGACCGAAGAAAACACTAAACTCCGGTTTCTGACTTGTTCTTTAATTCAAGACATTGCAGGTGCCTATTTTCCAAACTGCATCGTGAAACCATTTGGCTCTTCTGTGAACAGTTTTGGTAAACTGGGATGTGATTTAGACATGTTTTTGGACCTTAATGAGATTGGGAAAAGCACGACCAGAAGGGTAAGGTCTTTCTCCAGCTGTGTCCATCTAAACTAAGGTGTGGAATGAGTTACAGGCATATTTTAGAAGCTGCTGAGTACTTGTAATCTAGTGTGATTGTGGGGTATATTGCTTCTCTAGAGCAGGGCACATCTCCCTGCCATTTCCCCCTCACTCTGTTAACCTGCTTCCTCTTCTTCTGTTGATGTTTAGGGGGTCTTTAATATTAGGTTAAATTTTATTTGTAATCACGTTGAACGGTCATATACCCAGAACTTGCAGGGAGCAGCAGAGTAGTCCTAAACGCCACCGTAGTATTTTAAGAGCCCATTCATACCAAAAGCTGGGCTTTTGCTGACCATTCCATCTTGCTTCAGGTCCTCGTCCTGCATCTGACACCACTTTGAAAGTTTCCTCTGTCCTTAAGACTTGCATTTTGGGGTGCTGAAAAGTTCCCGGGCATGGCCCTTCTGGATCTCGGATAATATGAATTACCTCCTGTCCTAACGAATATTTTGGAGGGAGAGAGATGTTTTATAACAGATTGGTGCTAGGGAAGTGGTGCTAGAGAAGTGCTCTGCTGTCATAGAGACATGCACCAGCTCTACTCTTCATTTGGAAAACTTGCCATAAGCCAAAGAAATTGGGCCCCATTTATCAACATAAATTAGCAACCTGATGAAAGTCTGGAGATTTCCACACATGAAGAGGAAGCAGTTTTGAGTATATAGCTTCTGTTTACACAACTTAAATGGTGCAGTTTTTTGCACACATGCTCTGGTGGAAGAACTTGGAAAGGAAGTGACAGATCAGTGGCATCTTTGTGCTGATGCGCAGCTTCTGTTAGAATTGTCATAAAATGTAGACATGATGACCCCCCAGTGCCATGAGTTTCCTGCCCTGCCTTTTTGAGATAAGGCATGTAATTGTAATAGAGGAAATGGCCATGGCTTTGTGGTTGTCTGGATTATAAGATTATCCCCTTGTGGATGTGGTGCCTAACCTTTTCATAGAATCATAGAGTTGGAAGGGACCTCCAGGGTCATCTAGTCCAACCCCCCTACACAATACAGGAAATTCACAAATACCTCCCCCTCCACACCCACAGTGACCGCGGTTCCACGCCCAGAAGATGACAAAAAACCCTCCAGGATTGCTTCTTGACCCCAAAGTGGCAATCAGCATTTCCCTGGGCGTGTAAAAAAAGGGCCACAAGAACTAAGCACTGAGGCAACCCTTCCTGCCCTCCCTCTCATGATCTGCTTAAGATCACGAGATCATTCCACACTTGTATGCCTGCAGTGTCTTTAGAGTGTGGCCACTGGCTGAAATCTAGTACTCTGTGCAGACAAAGAAGTCCTGTTTTTACCTGTGAAAAATAAATGTGCGCGAGTGCAAACTGTCTTGTACCCGGCATTGGTAAGGTGCAGCCAGAGACCAAGACATAAGATTGCAGTGACTCCCCCTCCCCAGGTAAAAAAACAAACAAACAGGGTTTTTCCAGTATCCACTATGACTGGACCAGACAGCGCGTATATTTGAGCTGGTCCATGTGTGATACCCAGGAATGGGAAATTTGTAATCATACCTATCTTGGTCACTGCTGTAGTTTTTGTTCCCCGATGTGCTTGTGGCAGTTCTGTGTGAACTCTCCGGATTGTGTCCTTTGTATTTTAAAAAAGAAAAAAACTAACACCAGTGATTGTAGGAACCTGAAATACTACAGGCTTTAATTTTATTCCTGAAAATAGTGACTTACCCTTATCTCTCTTGTGTTAGAAAACAGGTGCCTTTAACCTGCAGTATCAGATGAAGAGAGCGCCTTCTGTACGGGTTGCAACACAGAGAATCCTTTATGTGATCGGGGAGTTCATTGATAACTTTGGCCCTGGGTGTGTTGGTGTGCAAAAAATACTTAATGCTCGCTGTCCATTGGTGAGATTTTCCCATCAGCCTTCAGGATTTCAGTGTGACTTGACATCTAACAACAGGTAAACTTTTTTAAAAGGTTTTTTGTTTCTTTAAATCACATACCCTTCCATTCCTCAGTTCCTCCAAGGAATTAAGGGCTGTGTAAATGGAAGGTAGCACCATTTTTTCCCATCAGCCTTCAGGATTTCAGTGTGATTTGACATCTAACAACAGGTAAACTTTTTAAAAACGTTTTTTGTTTCTTTAAATCACATATCCTTCTATTCCTCAGTTCCTCCAAGGAATTAAGGGTTGTGTAAATGGAAGGTAGCACCATTTCGCCCTCTTGCCAGCATATCTGGGGACAGTTAGGCTGAGAGATGGTGGCCAGAACAGGGCTTCCAGTGAGCTTTGTTGCTGAGCAGTGATTTTAGCCCAGCTTTCCCCAGTTCAACAACCTTATTATGACTCTTTGCTTTGGACATGGCTCCATAGGCAGGTGAAGAGCAGCCGCTGTACATCAGTCCGCTGTGGAGAATTCCGCCTACCTGGCCTTCTCACGGTGCTGTTGCATCACCTCAGCTTTCCTCCTTTTACAAGCCGAGGAGTCTAGTTGAGGGATGTGTATCCAAAGAGAATCCATGCTGAAATGTGCAATACCAAATGGCTGTCAAAATCGAAAAGCAAATGCTGATACATGCAAACTATTCCGTATTTAGCACATTTTTTATCCTGCCCTTCTTCCAAGAATCTCAGGGCAGTTCTTCTCACCTCCATTTTATCCTCACAACACTCCTGTGAGGTAGGGTTAGGGTTACATGGCATTCCTTGTTTTTTTTCGGCTCTATGTGTTTTGATGAAAGTCCGTTTTCCCTCAATATGATAAAACTTGACATTTTATAACTAAAAATGTACTTTCATTCCCCAAATGTTAAAGGATAGCTCTAAAAAATTAATGTGCCTCAGCTCCTAGGACAAATCTTTTTTAAAAAAAAAATCTGAAAATTAAAAATCTAACAAACAGCAGGGGAAAGCAAAAAGGAAGTTAAGAGCCCAGGAGGAAAGATGCTTTTTAAGGACTTGCAAGAGGGAGATGATGGTACTGAGTGGGTGGAGGTGGCCTGAGTTCCAAGAGTTTGGAGACAACAGGAACTAGGTATATATCAAGCCAGCCTCAGTTATATTGTGATTTTCTGAGCATTTCCATATTTTGCTAGTCTAAGCTTCCAAAACTGATAAGAAATAGTTTACCAGTGGTGAAATTCTGCTTTTCCACTATTCTTGTGGACGCTGCAACATAGTCAACTATATTTCTTCCAAAGTATGCAAGTTTGATCTGTGTATTAAATTTATCCAGCATATTCTTTCACTCGGTTCAGAAACCATGGCTTAATTAAATTGCCAAGTGTGATTGCCTGAATGCATGACTTCACCAGCAGTGATCAGTTAGGGGACATAACACTGGATATGGAATCTTAAATGTGGTTTTGTGTAATGTTATGAATGCAGGGACCCTGGCTTATGGCCTGGCACCACTTTGACTACAGTGCAGTCTGGGAAACTAACAGGGTCTCTGTGGGGCAGGTGGGGGAAAGAATAAAAGAAGCGGAATGGGCATTTGTTGAGGCAAACCAGGATTTGGACGATCAACTGTGAAATGAAATGTGGTTTCACAAACTAACCTAAGTTTTATAATAAACAATGGTTTTGTTGTGATGTATGAACCAAGCTTGGTTTAAATATTTGCCAGTCATTCAGTACAGGTCATGTAAAATATTATAGTTGTTTTTCACTAATGTGGCCGGTAGGGGGAGCAGGATTCTTAAGAATAGCATATCTTAGTGCCATTCCTTGTATCCTTACAATTTACCAGGGTTTTTTTAACTTTCACATTCCATTATCCGTATAGGGGGAAATGCCAAGATTATTATATGGATTCCTACAGATTCTTACTGTTGAATTATAGAGGTTAAATGTACTGTGAAAATCAAGAGACTTCATCTTTTGTTGAATACCTGTTAACATTAACCACGGTGACTTCTGTGCATCGGGACAAAATTGCAGTTTGGCCATCTGCAGCAGTGTCTGTTACCAGCTGTGTTTGGTCCCTCTTTTGATCCACGGTTCAAGCATTCTGTTCTAAAGTTACCCTGTTGGGTGGCTTTTGTTGATTACATCCACACTCCCCTAGAAGCAAGAGAATCGCAATCGCACACGTGTGTCAAATAGCACCCCTTTTGATCCCTCCCTGTATGAGACAGTAGGCAGAAGACCTTGTGCCTGTCTTGGAGTTCATACTGAAGCCTGCCTCTCCCTTGCTAATTGCTGCTGGTATCTGAATGCATCCCACTTTGCCTGATGTAGATCTGCAGAAAAGTACCACTGGTGAAACCACTTTTGTGGAGCTTATTCTGCTGCTCATGGAGGAAGCAATTTGTAGCAGCCATCCACGGACTTGTCTGCAAGCCTTGGTTCTTTGTTCATAAGTTTGTGCAGGTTCTACCTGCAGGTCCTTCAGCCCCATCAAAACATCCTGTGACGGTTGTTTACAATGCATAACGGGCTGCGTTTTGCCAGCACACGTCTGTTGCGTTGACTGTCTGGAAGCAAGGGCATGACTCTGTTCACACCACCAGCATGGCTAGCCAGTGGTGGGCCTGTCTGCCTTGCCCCATGTCCTTCCCTTCTCTGACCTGGTGGGGAGGTAGCAGTAGGTGTGAGAGTGGAACTCACTGGCTTTCTGGGGTGCTTCTCTTGTTTAGCCTCTAGCAGGACTCCCCATAGGCCCTTGTTTCTGTAACGTGGCTGCTGACCCCTAAAACTTTTCACATAGGCTTATTGTGAATAGTTCCCAGGGGATATTTAAATATACACCAGATTAAAGTGCTGCCCTACTCTAGGGGTTGTCTGTGTGCATGTTTGTTTGTATGAGAGAGAGAGAGAGAGAGAGAGAGAGAGAGAGAGAGAGAGAGAGAGAGAGAGAGAATGCTTTCATATCTTTCCTGTTTCAGCATTC